ACTGTGGTTCGTGTTGTTTCTTGTTGATAGGTTTGTCCAGCGAAATGCATGTTTCATGATGATGTCAAGTGAATGAGACATAATTATGTCTCAGATAGTCCATTGTTTCCGGAGGAAACCTCGGATCTAGAGGAGCTACTATTGACGGCGGCGCCCGTGGGCGTCATAGCCCTCGTTGGAGGCGTTGAGGGGCCTCGTGGATCGGATGGTGGCAACATCTTCGTCGTCACCCCCATGGTGGCATCATCTTTGGAGACATTCATCGGATGGACGGACATATAGACGACTTGGTGGTTGGTTGTCGGTAGGTGGTGGAGCGGTGCTTCATCCTACACATCGATGGCAGTGGATCTCGGCGGCATGGCACAATGGAGGCCCTTGCAGCGTGCACATGTGATGCCCACTGAAAGTGTGCCGGACCGGTGTGTAACACTGTCCAGGTATTATGGCTTGGATGGGGCATCAGACATTAGATGTTAGGTGTTGGTGTGATGTCTGTTTGGTATTAGGCTCGGACATTCGGCACCCCTTCGTCGCGGGGATAGAAGTAGCGACCAATGTTGCCAAGATGGTGACTTTAGGCTTATTGATGTATTACCTTGTAAGGGCTTTGTGAATAATTAATAAAATGGTTGCATGCATCGGCCAGATGCAGACGTCAGGGGTACATCCTCCTTTTAAAAAAAGATAGATTAGTTCTAGGTGCCCCCTATAAATTTCATGTTGCAAAAAAAAATCAGAGTTTTTTTAGCTCATCATTTTTTCTGAAAACATGGATAATATTTTTGATTAGGTCACATAATTCAAATTACTATATTTTTGTAAACGTGTTTTATGAATAATATTCTTTATATTCTTAGATATTTTGTAGAATTGTCGCTGATTTTCAAATAATTATGTCATATTTTCTGGATCATAATATTAACATTGTGTGAATTATTGTCTTATAAGGCTAGTTTCTCAATGTAATAATAAAATCATAGGAACACCCCGTAATTGAAACCAAAATATATCATCCGAACTTTTTGTGAATTTAAGTCTCAAACTAGAGTATGCCAAAATAATATTCTAACATTTCAATCTCTTCATATTTTGCGAACTAGGCAACACATAACTGTTCATCTGTTATGGTTTGCCATTGTCAAGCCTACCGACCAGCCATGAATTAAGCATCATGTGGCACATCTAACATTCACTCACGCTCTGTGAAGTAAGAATAAAGTGCAAAAGAGATATGCTCTTGCTCTAGGGTGTGTTTCATAGACACGCGTGAGTGACGTTTCTGGATGTAAATCCTTGCATGCTCAAAAAAGAGATTATACCATGCGTAGGGGAACCATACAATAAGCGCTGGCAAATGACAGGATTGATGGTGGTTATTTATCATGACTGAACATGGGCGGCCTTGGATTCTCCTTTCCGCCATAAAAGAGGAGGTGGCTCACTGGATCACCGAAGGCGCAAAAAAGTTGAAATCCATCATACCAGAGAGTAATTCACCAGTAACCGCGGGCAGTGGCGGAGCTTGGGCTGAAATCTAGGGGGGGCAATGGGCTGGGGGGGCAAACAATATGTATTTTGGGCTGATTTTGCTTGAGATATGGGACAAATACTAAGGGGTATTTCAGAAAAAATTCATGGGCTGGGGGGGCAACGGCCCAGGTTGGCCCCTGAGAAGCTCCGCCACTGACCGCGGGGTGTGTTGTAACACAAAAAACACAAAAAACTCTATTCTCCTTACTCATAATAGATAAGGTAAATCTTTTGCCCTCTGTTTAAAAAAATGTAAATAGAAATCCTACACGAGGCCCCACATCTAATATAAGAAAGTCACCCTCACCTCCATATATTATTAGGTGCCGCGCCAGGGTCGCAAAAAGGTTGAAAAATCCTAGACAACTACTCCCTCCATTTCTAAATATTAGTTTTTTAAACATTTCAAATGGATTATAATATACAGATGTATGTAGACATATTTTAAAGTGTAGATTCATTTATTTTGCTCTGTATGTAGTCACTTGTTGAAATTTCTAAAAAGACTTATTTTTGGGAATGGATGGAGTAGTAGATATCTATAACAGACTCTCCACAAAATTTCCTGACTCTTCCAAGTTACAGGCTTACAGCCATCCGATCATCTTCTATATCTAAATAGCTAGCCCCCACTAACTATTTCTCTCAATATGCAAGCATGCCACATCATTGCACAACATGCATGAGAAAAGGCCCATCCTCACTATCATATGTCTCTCAACATGCAAGCATGCCACTTCATCATGACATGCATGAAAAAAAGACTTATCTCAACATGTAACATACATGAGGGTTTTCATTCTATTATGCTATATACATTTAATAAACATTTTACAACTATATAGTAATCAAGCACAATAAATTATACTATGTATTTTTATTGTTAGCTTTTTATATTATTACTTCAAATATTCATGTTTCATACAACGTGTCACATTGAAATATGTTGCAAAATATTCCTGCAACAACGTGCGGGGTATCATCTAGTTCGCACAAAACTAACGCTCCGCGCAACCAGAGTGCGCTCCTAACATCAGGGGTGGAGCTGCACCAGAATAAGAAAGATACTGAATAAATGGTAACCTTTTTTTCTTTTTGCGGCCTGCCGCAACTACTCTTACGCAAGCGCATACGGCTGACGGCTGCGCAGCGAGTGCACTCCTACCGTTCATCATGTGGGAGAGCATTTGCATTTGGTGGTTCGGTCAATGCTTAACCGCCATAACCACATTGTTTAATTGGGCCGAAGAAATGTGGACGGGTCTGAAAAGCAAGAATAAAGAAACTGGGTCCTGCTACATTGCTATATGGAACAAAACTACGGGAGCTGGACCAGAACAAGCTTTGCGTTGCCGAATGGTCAAGTACGCGTGCACCGGACGGGGTGAAGGAGAGACGTGGGCCGTGCGCTGCGGCGTATAGAAACAACTAGTGGCATAAATAATAAAAATCTTACAAACAATTAGGGTGATCTAGCACGGCGCGCTAAGTCCATTTTTTCAGGAAAACGTATTTAACTATCATAAACATTTTTTTGGAACATATCAGTATATCACTAATCATAAAGGTTGGGTAATTTACCCCCTAACTTCAATATCAGTAAGAACATAAAACCTCAAACTCTGGATGCCGTTTAAACTAACCCCTTCCGCAGAAAACGGTTTCCACGTACGTGGCATAATTTGCCTAAGTTAATTACCTTGTCAGCATCGTGACTCGCCTTCTGATTGCTTCTAATACAACTTCGATGAGGTCACGGTCGTGGAGGTGGTGGCGACCAGCTCGGACTCCAACCGAGAGCTCGAGGAGGAGGACGACAAGCTGATGGATGACAACATCATCCTCTCAACTCCATCGAGACTTACCGCGTGGAATGACGCACCACCGAGGAGCGGCGCACCATGGAGGAATATAAGGCCTCCTACAACATGGAACAACTCGTTGCCGAGGAGCCTCGCACATACATGGGGGTCCAAGGCTGTCACGAACTCCTCTATCGTAAGGGTGCATGACAACGAATGGAACAACCTGCAAGATGACATTGTCGTCGTCAAGAAGGAGGCCGTGACAGTAGTGGAGAAGCCAGCAACGATAACGAGGGGTTACCAAAGGCAGGGGCCAACATCAAATGATGTCATCGTCATATCCTCTGACTCTGACTCGAGGCATAGGGCTATGACGGAGAAGCTTATGCTATGCTAAGCTAAGTTTCTCTGTTTATACATAGCAAGTGTTATATATTTTTAGTCTTTTAGGAGACCTTCTACTACTTGATCTACATTAACCTAGCTCAAATTATGGTGATTAATTGTTTGTGTTAGCTATGTTGCTTAATGAGTAGCTCAAATTAAGAAGTTGTGAGCTTCGGTTAACGCGGTGATGAATTTAATTATAAAGTTTACATGAGTGATCAAGTGGAGTGTTCAGATGGATGCATAACATGGGTGGAACCGTGGAAGTGAATTCAAGTGTTTACATGCATGATTCAATTTTTGGCGATGGATTAGAAACCACCCTCTCATTACCTAGTCTTTTGGGGGATTTAAGTTTTGGGTTTGGGTTTTGGTAAAAACATCATGTAAGCATTGTATAAGACAGCAAAAGTACAACAAGTAATCTACCATAAAAAAAGTGTCCCCTTTATGGTCTCTTGAAGTTTAACCTCATCATGAATAGATCATCCGGCCCACACCTACTCCAACAAGATTCATTCATAGTGCACCATGTTTCGGGACTGCAGCTAATAAATTAGGGGCACATACCGGGCAAGATAATAAATTGAGCGCTGCTACGCAGACGATGATGCGCGGACGATTTGTGCATGACGCTGCACATCAGGTCGTCCATCCATATCATCGGAGTCCAGTGGACGGCTGGATGTGGCATCGTCCAACTGTCGTATGATCGATCCATCGTCTGCACAGCCTTTTCGTAATAAATTTACGATCGAATCAATTGCAAATGTGCGAATCAACCTGTCGTTGGATGCTTAGGAGGACAGTGGTATCGTCAGCCTCGCCGGGTTTCAAGTCCTGGTGCTCGCATTTATTATGAATTTATTTCAGGATTTCTGACGACATGCGTTCAGTGGGAGGAGACGTTATGTCAACTACGAGGCGACTATGATGACTTCGTCAAATCTCAAGATGATATGTCGACTCGGTCTCTCGAAAGTGCTCATATAGGGATAGCGTGTGTGTATACGTTTATAGGGGTGAATGTATGCACGTATATATGAGCGCTTGCGCCTGTCTTGTGTTCAAAAGAAAAAAGAATGAATTGAGAATTTCAGTTGAAACAATGTAAACGAACGAATCCACTTATATAATCTCTGAAAAAGTCACACTTCTATATGTACACGTATAAAGTAATGAACCAACCAATAGTTAACACCTAACCACTACAAGTGTGCACGCATACGCATGCCGGAAACTCTGCACTAGAAGTCTAAAACTAATGAAATCGGTCTAGATAAAGAGCTCGAGCAGAACGGGCAGCGCCTGCGCCACCTCCTCGCGGTGCCGGCGCATGTGGCCGCCGAGCGCCTGCCCCGTCTCAAACCCATGGCCGCAGATGTGGCACCGGTGCGCCTGCTTCTGATCTGTAGCAGTAGCACTCTTGGGCTTGACGGAGCAGTACTGATCGCCGGTGGTGAGGGCGAGCGCGAGCCCGTGGCGGCCGCGCAGGTGGCTGGTCCGGTGGCCGCCGAGCGCCTGGAACGACGGGGACGAGCGGCCGCACGTCTTGCACACGAACTCATCCCCGCCGGCGCGGCGCATCTTCTTGCTGCGGTCAGCGACAGCGCCGAGGCAGAGCGAGAGGGCGAGGGTCACGGCATGCTGGTCGGCTGCCTCAGCTCTCTGCTGCTTCGTCATTGCGAGTCGAATAAGAGGGATCTGTGGGAAACGATCGACTACGTACTGGGGGCACACAGGATGGGTTCAAAGGAAACCTGAAGCTGTTGGATGCCTCTGGTGTCCGGTGTGCGCATGGTAGGTGTTTATATAGTGGAGTCTTGAGGGGGCAGGTCGCGTGTGCCCCACGTCGGGGTCGACGTCGCCACCGGCCGGCGACTCGGCTGTCCATATCGTCTCGCTTGGCTAGTCCTAGTAGCAGTAGGGGGAGCTGGGAGCGTTTAGGACGCGCAGTTTGACGTGTACGTACGTGTGCGCTGGCCTCATCCATCCATACGGCTGTTGGACGGAAGGGCCCACGAAACGGCATGGAAGAAGCTAGCAGCTCACGGCGTCATATATTATATATTACGAGTAGAAAATAGACGAAGCCCCCAACCGGCTAAGGTCAGGAGTCAAGAGTCAAGGGAGAAAGTCTCGCTCCCCAAGAATAAAAAGCGCTTCGCGAACAGACTGTAGACAAACAGACGGTGGGTCCAACCTTACCAGATTCGACTTACTTAACTTGGTTGATCAGTCGTGTTGTCCACTGACAGTGGCATGGCATGGTTCGAACGCAGGTTTGTTCGCCACACGCTCTCTCGGATACCTACGAGAGCAAGTCCGGTCGCAAGGTTATGGAGCGGCAGCGAGCGCGTCTTAGACGAAATAATCGACACATAGGTACACAAAGTAAATGGACATAGATGTTAGAAATAAGGACAATGATATTTGGCAACCATGTGACAGATTGCAAAAGTACCAACTCATCTCCCACCTCGCGATCCCACGTCCTCCTGAATAGTCCGTCTCCTTCGATCCCGCGTCCTTCCTGATTTTCTGGGCTGCTCCTGATCCCCGCACAAAAATAGGTAAAAGAAACGGCGACATCCTACCCTTCGATCCCACGTCCACCCCATGTTTTTCCCTGGAAAGAGTAAAAATTCGATAATGGATTGGTGGGGGATCAAACACACGACCCACATAGTAAATTTAGCTAAAGCATCCAGTTGGGCTACTCAGCTCTACTGATTGCAAACAATTTACACACTAATTGTATCTTATGGAGACAAGATTGAACAAAAAAAGTCAGTAACTTAAAATTCAAACCGGCAGCCCCACTAGTTTGGGTATTAGGACTATGCACCCTAGTTCCATATATTTTTCTACATGTTTCACACCGGTTCACATAGTTCACAAACCCGAGCGTCCCTTTCCCTCCTTTTCAGATGCAAAATACCATGGTGCCTGCATCTTTATCATGTATGAGGTTCAACTTTTATCATGCTAATTACATAGAAGTTACCGGGGTATGTTTCTGGTCAAATATTACCGTGGTGTTTGTACTTAAGTTAATAGGTATGCGGTTCATATATTACCATGCTATTTAGATACAAGTTTTCGTGGTATATTTTTCAACAACTCCTTTCCCCTCCCCACAGTAAAAAATGTTTTCGCAATGGTTGTACTTAAGTTATCAGGTATGGATTTGGTTTATTACCATACAGTTTACATAGAAATTATCGAGGATATGTTTTTCAACAACTTTTCTCCCTTGGTCAAATTTACCATGGCATTTGTACATACGTTATCAGGTATACGGTTCATATTTTACCGTGCTATTTTCGTACAAGTTACCGGGGTATGGCTTTCAACAACTTTTCCCCCTTTGGTCAAATATACCTAGGTGTTTGTATGTAAGTTATTGTCCATGTTGTTCGTATATTAGCATGCTATTTTACATAAGTTAACAGGGGTATGTTTTTCAAATAACTTTGTTCGTTTGGTATCCAGTGGCATCTTGAACACCTGCAAGTGGAGCGCTGAATTTGTTTGAGCCGCATACAGATATGGGTACGATAGTGCCATTCCAGCAACAATGCTCAACTTCCCCGTCTGGGTATCATTGTACTTGAACAACCGCGTCTAGACTTGGGCAAGATGGTTCACCCATGGCCGCTCGCGAGCCCTCTAGCACTTCCGTCGTCAACCTTCCGTCGTCTCGAACCCTTCTCAGTGCATGTGGCTGCGACCATCCTCGAGCACCCCCGTCGCATCATGAGGGCGCGGATCCGGACGTACCGCAGTGGCTGTGGTGGATCTAGCCGCCGGCTGACCTGGATGCTCGATTTGGGGCCTCAGATAGGATGATAGGGTGAGGGAATAGGAGGTGGAGATGCTAGGGGTAGCGTCGGAGCACGGGGCAAGACGGTGAGGTCGCTGGCATAAGCGATAGCTGTTGGTTTGGGATTGGGGAGTAAGTCGAAAGAGAGGATGAAGAAAGGGCGCGGCTGGGTTTCCCCCATGAATCGAGTGGGGGTGGAGGAGGCAGCGAACATCGTGTGGATCTAGCGATCGGGATCGAAGGGCAGTCAGGTCGTTCGGCAGTTTTGTCAAAACGATCTGGTGTGCCAAATAGATATTTCATAGAAGTTATTAGGGGATATGTTTTTCAACAGAATTTTACCTTCTTGGTTGAAGTTACCGTGATTTTTGTATGTAACTTATCGGGTATATGGTTTGTAAATTATCGTGTTATTTTCACATATGTTATCGGGTGGTTATATTTTTCAACAATTATTTACATCATTGGTTAAAGTTATCGGGGTATTTGTGTGCAAGTTATTGGGTATGCGGGACATATATTACCATACTATTTACACGTAAGTTAGCCGGGGCATGTACTTCAATAACTTTTTTCCCCGGATCAAAAAGATACCAAGGTGTTTGTATGTAAGTTATTGGGTATGCGATGTTTATATTACCAAATTATTTACACAAAATATCGGAGGCACATTTTTAACACCACTTTATTGGGTCAAAGTTTTCGATGTTTGTACATAATTTATCAAGTCTGTGAAGCATAAATTACCATGATATGAGCTTAAGTTAGAGAGGTTATTCCCCGCAAAAAAAAGTTAGCGAGGTTATGCTTTTCAGTAACTCTTTCCCGGAGTCAGTGTTACCACCAAACTGGTGTGTAAGTTATCAGGTGTGCATTACGTACGTTACCACACTATTTATCCAAAAAATGATGGTGGATATGTTTTCAACAACTCTTTTTTCTGGGTCAAAATCGTCCAAAGTTATCAATGTTTGTACATAATTTATCAAGTCTGTGAGGCATAAAATTACCATGATATAGGCATAAGTTAGCGAGGTTATTCCCCGCAAAAATAAGTTAGCGAGTTATACTTTTCAGCAAGTCTTTCCTCAAGTCAAAGTTACCATGAAATTTGTGTGTAAGTTATCAGGTGTGTGTGTATATATATTACCATACTATTTATTCAAAAAAATTGTTACCACAGTAATTGTCAACAGTTTTTTTCTAGGGGCCAAAATGATCCTCATTACCTACTGTTCTTTTTACCACCCACAAACTGCTCAACACAAGCATGGCAAAAAAAATCAGAGATACAAAAAAATTGGGCAAAACTAGGGATTGATCCCTAGTGGCCTCGGTTATGATTCATAGCACTAGCCACTTGGCAGTAGTTAGTTCAATGTTGTCATATCAGCGCGAGGTTTTTTATAGGCAGACAGGCATCAGGCTTTACTTGGTCTGTAGCCATGGCTGCTGCTCACGACGGAGCTTCACCCTGAATTACCAGGCTTTTCTTTGGCGTTTTGGGGGTGCGCGGGGGTGCGGATGAGCACATGCATGGTGCAGCGGGGCGCGGCCTTGCGTGCCTGCTGTGTGTGCACCGGCCGAGCACCCATGCTCGAGCTCAAGCTCATGCATGGCGGCATGCGCTCGGGTGCATACGACCAGGGTGAGCGGGAGGAGGAACGGCGGTTCTCACCACGCTCGAATGCGAGATCGACTTGGACAGAGATAGACGAGGAAGCCAGTGAGGAGACACTGATTGCCGGAAACGGCTCCACCGAGGAGAAAACGACAATGGCGTGGTCAGTCCCAAGGTCCTGTGGACATGCTGTTGCGCAGGAGGACGACGGACGTCGCAGCGGAGCTTCCCGTTGACGAGGTGGAGGACGAAAAGGACCACAACGGCGAAGCGAAATTAGCCCCGCGGGTCAACGCCCAGGCCACTCAAGCCCGCAGTCGAGCAACTGCCCCCGCGCATATCGCCAGTAGTCGCATGATCCCGATCGAAGCACCACGAGGTCGTGTGGTAGTTTTGCAATCTGCCACATAGTTGCCATATACATATTTCGTAGAAATAATAGGCCTAGCCCATAAATAATTTACGAAATTTCAAACTAGGCACATGCATAATGGCAAGTGATGGTTTTAAAGTTTAATAAGACCCCGAAAGATGAGAAACTATGAGACCTCTTTATAATGGGTTCACTACACCACGGTTAGTTACATGTGAAGGAGAGAAACGGAAGACATGCACGTGTTTGCTCGCCTGACCGGGCTCGGTGGACAAATTATGTTTTTGAGAAGCGTTGTACGCGACTGCTCAAGTTCGTCATCGTGGGTCGTCTTCCATTTAAGTCAGGTGGTGCTACTCATCGTCGTCTTCAACGCCATCAGCAACAGATCGTCGCCAACATCGTCATGAAAAATGTCGCTCCTGCAGCATCTAACGAACAGTACGTCCATCGTGATCTGTTCATGTCCCTACCTGTAGTTGTAGTTACATGTATGATACTGTTATGCTGGTTTTCCTATTCATTTAGTATGCTAGATTGTTGCATGCTATTTTTTATACTAGTCATGAATTAGTTTCTAGAATTAATCATAAATTCGCCTAATCTTTCAGCAATTCAAAAACCTAATTGTCTGCAAATTCCTGGGTTAACTATGACTGGATTCGCTGATGCACTAAGGCCTGACAATTTTACCGGTGTGCACTTTAAGAGGTGGCAATTGAAATCGACACTCTGGCTTACTGCTGTGAAAGTTTTCCACGTTGGTGCTGGTATGCCAGATGGAACATCCGAAGAAGATCAGAGAATGTTTCAGGAAGCCAATACTATGTTTGTGGGATGCATTCTGAATGTTCTTGTTGACCGTCACTGCGATGCGTATATGCATATACAAGATGGAAAGACACTGTGGGACGCGCTGAATGCTAAATTGGGTGCAACAGATGTAGGCAGTGAACTGTACATCATGAAGAGTTTTCACGACAACAAGATGGTGAATAACTATTCTGTGGTTGAACAAGCTCATGAGATACAATGCATTGTGAAGGACGGGAACTCCAAGTGTGTTCTACTCGATAAATTCGTTGGTTGGGTGCATGGTTGCAAAGTTGCCTCCTTCATGGAGGAATTCCGCCACTACTCTGAAACATAAGAGACATTAGATATAAGTTGAAAAATCTGATTGCATATGTTGATGTCGAAGAGAAGCTCGGGTTAAATACACTGTTGAGAAAGGAGGCGAGGTTCAGCCTACCGTCAATATGGTGCAGAGGTACCTACAGAATAAGAACAAAGGGAAGAACAAGTAGGTTTTCAATAAGCCTGTCAAGACTACTACCTTCAAGAAGAAGACGAAGCTGAATAAGGCTAAGCTAGAGTGTGACGCATGTGAAAAGCCCAAACACTTTTCCAAAAAATGCCCAGAACATGCAGACCCATAGGGAAAACGAGCTCCAAGACCGTCAACATGGTGATCTGTAGCAATACTGATGGGTAGGGTAATTTACCTATTGTTCTTTTAGTATTTCAACCATCTTCTTATTCGGGTGCTAACGTTCATATGTGTGTGCTGACATATCTTTATTCACTTCTTATCAGGTTGCATAGGATTCTTCGGTCATAATGGGGAATGGGTCACATGCTTCTCTTTGTGGCATTGGCACAGTGGATCTAAAGTTTACTTCGGAGAAAATCATAAAGTAATTGTATCAAGATATGGACAATTTAGCACGAGTCTTTCACCAAACACTTGCCGGGCGTGGTGACCCCCATGGACGGCATCCGCAGGCAGATAGAACCTGTGCGGTGGACGGACGTGAGGTATACAACGACGGCAGCGGGGAGGGAGCAAAGCGGATGCAGAGGAAGGGAATGGGATGGACACGCGGGTCCGAGTGTTGTTTTGGGTGGGTTGGATGTGTCCGGATCCTATGTGGCGGAGGTCTGGCTCCTGCAAAGCCCCCTAGTTTGCTTCTGGTTTGCGGAAAAACAGACAGGCGAACTGGTAAACTTGGTTTGAGGGTCCGGACAACTTGATTTAGATGTTTGCGGGTGATTTAAGGGTCTGCTTTGAAGATGTTCTCAATAATAAGAAGCGAGAGGACAACAAGAAGCACCGTAATGGTTGTTGCGATGAGAAGAAAGAGGAATCCCATATCTCTCCAAACATGCCTTTTCCCTGCTTTATATATAAAGCAGCACATTGAAGTACAAAGCTGGTCGATACAATGTGTTGAGGAACGCCTCTTACAGAACATATCTACAAATATAACATGAAGCAAAGAACTATCCTAACACGTTGCCGAGGCCCGACCAAATATGCCTGAGCTCCACGACAGAGCCCCAGGACGGTGTGGACATCAAGCGTCACCGCTGCCGAGCGCGACCAGAAATACAACCGGGTTTTCACTCGGAGCTTTGGTACAAGGATGAGTTTGACGACGAGGTCTTCAGGAACAAAGTGGCGTCAACGGGCGTCGCGGGCGCTGGTGCCAAAGTGCAAAGCTTTCCCTCAGAAACTTGCCTGCACCACCAGGAGGCCCCCTGAGCACCACTACGATGAAGGCTAACCTAGTCACACCAGATTTGGGCATCATCACTTCTAAAGAAAGAGGACATGCCAGAACCTCCGCTATTACACCCCTGGTCTCCCTCACAACTAAGGCCTTGTACAATGGGAGGTGCTTAGAGACATGCTTAGAAAAATAAACCGGATTTTTCTGAAGCACCGGTGCCTATTTCTACAGGAGAGACGCTTAGTTAAGCGTCTATTCTGTACAAATAGGCACTGGTGCTTAAAGAAAGCCTGATTTATTTCTCTAAGCACCTCCCCTAACCATCTCCCGT